GTCCCCGCGAAAAAGTCGGGGAGCAAATTGCGCGGGGAGAGGTCCCTGCGTTCCCCGCCGGGGTCCTCGACGGGGAGTCCGTTCCCCGACGAACACTATCATTGACTGTTCTGAATTTGCAAAATGAAAGATCCGAAGGATATGACTCAACAATATATCCTTCATTTATTTCTTGTCTTTGTCGTAATTTTTTTGAAGCCTGAATATAAATGAACAATGATAACAAAGTTGGAAATCAGTGAAACGACTTGTTGATTCGATTTCAAAAGTGAATCGATTTTGCGTTCCAATGCATTATTGGCTGATTTGTACTGCGATTTGCGAGCTGCTTGATTCACGTTCACATTCAGCAAAGATGGCGTTCGGTGAGGTGCCGTCTGGAAGATTCTTTTGCAACAAACGAATGGACAAATTTTCTTCATTTATAATGCAAATTTATGGTAGTTAACAGAAATGAAGTCAAGAAACTCTCAAAGCAGAGAATTTCAAGTGAATTTCTTTTCTTCGAATATGACTGTAAAGTATTTCTCGATCAGTTGAATACATTTCTTTCGTTTGAATATGACTGTACTTCAAGGAATAAGCTTGAAAGCTTGAGAAACAATTGCAAAACATTGGAAATAGCTGTTAATTTCTGAGTGTCACTAAGTTTTATGAATTCATTCTTTCGCTCTCATTTTCAAGGATGCACTCAACAACTACATTTTTACTTTAAGATCATTTGTTTCGGTTTATTTTCGATCTCATCAAATCGATCAGCTATAATAATTGCGCTCTTTATCAATCAATAGCTCTAACTGAAACTGGACAAAGAAAAATGATGGATGTCGAGTAAACGGGACTGGCTTATGGAAAACTGAATGAAAACTGACTTTCTTCTTCCTCAGTTTTGGTTTTTTCATTTGATAAACGATCGGAGTGGGATCAGACGGTATCATTATTCGATGAGTTCGCGATGAATCCGTAGTGAGCACTGTTTTAGCTGATACTCATTGACAGTGACTGACAAAAGAAATGGCTACAGTTGAACGTCCAAACATTAGTAGTACTCTATCGCAAACTCTCAGATGTGACGATAAGATCAAAAACTGATCGCAGAGAATGTACTGATGGCTGGCGTACATGTGCTGAATCGCAACGCTTTATGAGCCGATTAGTGGTTAATTCCAAGCCATTAGTTCCACACACTTCCGACTACGCACACTTTAAACCCCTCGATGTCCAATTATGCGTTTAAATTGTTGCTATAGCAACGTCATGTTTGCTGGACTCCTCTTAAAGTTACATTGGAACCTCTCAAATCGATAACTGTAAGTTAGAAGTCCTTTGCTTTTCCTTTCATATAATGAGCGATCTTTTTAAAAATCGCCGTGAACATACGACATACTTATCCAAATAATGTTACATTTTAGTCCACGACAACATCCTATGAGATTCCAGTGTTCGAATGGCTGGATCTTATGCAATTCAGGTGATCTGTTCTATACGATCGTTCATATTTCACAAGTTTCATCGGGTAGTCGACGCGATAATTTCAAATAACTTTACTTCGCAATCTTCGAATATAATCACTAATCTCGAAATAAACTGCTTCACCGTTACAATTATAATACAATCAATTACGATGAATAATGTGAAAAATAACAAACACGTTAATATTACACACTTCATTGCGGATGATTCCAAAATGACTCAACAAATCAAGGGTAAATTTTACGTGGATGAATATCACACACGGCTCAATGGTGAAACAAGATGACTTAGAAAACTCTTTGGTAAAACAATAGAAACGATCGAAAATCATCAAATAATACTTTTGTACTGTCATGTGAATAATTAAAGATAATGAAAAGTTTTGTTTCACAACAAATATGCAAACAAAATTATGTCCATATTACATGCGTTGCTCATCGATTCCGTTTTAATCTGCGACTCAAATTCTGAAACGCTCCCAAGTTGTTTCTTCAGTGACGACAAAATATGCGAATACGCATCAAACGGAACTCCTTATTGCTACTTCTAAAAAAGTGCAATTACAAAAAGAAACAAAACAAAAAAACCCGAACTCGACAGCGAAAGACATCAACGCATCGAAAAGTGATATAACAAAGATATAATAACATAGATTCGCGTGCGTTCTCGAAACTGAACAAAACTGAAGTCGATTCTTCTTCGTCTCGACGTTCTGACCATTCATAAGCCAGACAATCGTCATGTTGTAATCTTTGAATTCCAAACGAAAACATGGGATATATTCCTATGGACAAAGCGATTTTGACATTACTTAAATTACACGCGAAATAATCTTCAATTCTCAGACTGAAATAAATTCACCTCTGTTTATCGANTGTCTCCAAAACGTTGACAATATCATAGAAGAAAGAGGAAAGATTCTATCAAATACTATATGAACAACGAGGCTGACTTATACCGATACGGCACAATTACTTTGAACTATCAACGAAAATGAGGCAATAGTATTCTCTGCACGAATCTTCAGTTCGAAACATTGCCACAAAGACTCCATATCCATGCAATCAATAAATCATTTATGGACTGTATTAAAGACGAATATTTTCACATAGTGAAGAATGAAAAAAGTAATACTCCTATGGAGCCAACAACTGAATGAAAAGAGTGAATATTTACAAAGTGAACCGCTCAAAACATGAAAACAAATGAGTACATAAACAAGTACATTTGCACGTGGAGAAGATAAGTAAATACGCAATCGAATGAATAAATTAACCAGAAAACACGAATATTAATTAATACTGATCAAACAAAACGACCTTTGTCCCAATAAACGAAAACGCTCATAAAAATGATCTGCAAGTGTCGAAGATCTATGTACACAGAGTAAAGCAATTGATTCTCTTCGTCAACGAACATATCAAGACTGAATTTCGCCGACACTCTCCGGAGCATTATTCAGCATCGTGTACGCCTGAACACCGGACAAACTCTCGTCACATTCATTCGGTCGCGTTCGCCTTTTCGGTGTCGATTTTGGCATATCGTTTACTTCGGATGCCAGTACCGACTCGTCTTTTTCATCGCATTCAGGTATGGCTGGTGGCGGCAGGGAATTGTCTCGTCGTGGATGACTGCAAAAATATATTGCTATATTATCGAAAAGCATTGACAATGCCACCCTCCATAGTATTGTCACAATAATTGTATCTCGATCAGTGCTATTAATATTATCACCACTACATCGCATTCAAACTGATGTAAAGACCAACATTGTGCCAACAAAATGATTCTAATTATTAGAATAAAATCGAACAAAAAATAACCTGAAAGAAGCGAGTGACTGCGTTCGCCGAGGAGGTGCGGGCAGCTCGGGAGCAGGGGACACCTCAACCTGTCGACATAGCTCATCCCAGTGAGACATCAAGTCCGATACTGTGAAACCACCTTTCGTTGTGGCCGTCTGATGCAGAACATCTGGAATGAAACGAGTTGAAGAAACAAATTTTGGAAAAAATTCCAAGGGAAGTTTCTTGACAGAGGATATCTTAACAAAAATACCTGAGAAATCGACAAGACTCATTCTCGGTGTGTTCGGCACACTTTTACTTTTCGCCATCAGCAAACGTTTTCGATAGATTTCGTATTCAGCTTTCGCTTGCAAATTTCGATATGCGTTCACACACTCGCACGCCCTGCCCAACATCAAAATGCCGTTCAGAATTTTGATTGTTAGCAAATAGAACCACGCCATTGCTGCAATATTCATCCAGTTAAATAATCACTCGACTCCAATGCATTACAAAGACAATTATTGTGAATGTTGAAGAATTTTAACTAAATACTGAAATGAATGAATTCACTTACCGAAAAGGATACAAGCCGATCTGGTAGTGAGCGAAAGCGACTGTGTCAACACTCGGATTAGCATGATGGTGAGCGGAATTGGAATAAAACCCATTCGACGTGACACTTGATCCGAGTAATCCGAAAACGCATCTGCATCTCGACTCTGCACGACATCGTACGCTATTGTTATAGTGAAGTCTGCAACTGATATAATGAATCTAAAACCACCGTAACGCTAATCCATTTCATCAGCAAACATCGTTTTGATGTCCATCAAATGAGATTACCTTTAACACATCGAATCAAAACACACCTCGATAAACCTCGAAGGGAATCTCATTAAACTTGGTGATGAACGCATGCTTCAGCCAGTCAACCATCAGCTCAGCAATCACTACCATTGCCTGCAACGATCACCTATGACCACACCAAATCATTTCTAATAAGCTAAATATCACTCAAAATATCTCAACTGATTATTTTCCTCGAGCCATAAAATAAGGAACAAGCGAAACAATACAAAAACAACAAGCATTTACCAAGTCAGGTAGCATTTCAACGAGATGATCCATCTTCCAATTGACAGCCATCATATTCCGAACAACCACCACTGACAACAGAATCATAATATGGAAACGTTCACGAACATCGCTGAAATAAGCAATACTGAACCGATGAATGCGATAATAAAACCGCATAATATTGTATCATATAAATACGCATCATGCAAAGAACAATCGCAGTATGCACCGAACGTACCTACAGGACATTTGAAAAAGATTTGGTTTTGCAAATTTTTTGAATACCGATCCTTTCAGCTCCACGAAATTATTCGACATCATAATGGCGAGCAATGCTTGATTATGTGAATTGAACGCCACATTTAGCGTTGTTGCCTACAAACACGAAAAATGAACGAGGTATTATTATGAATACACGTACACACTGATCAAAGGTGCAACATCCAATCCATATACTAAGAGCAGTCAAACAAACAAACCTGCAAAAGAACGAGCAATGTATGCAGCAAAGCGTATAATGACGCAGCTAAAAAATGCGTCAACGTTCTGAAACGATTCGACGACCGCTCAGTGGCCGTCCAAAATAGCGCATCAAGTGTATCCTAAATTATATTTTCCCATATTTTCATCTAAATCACGTCTGCATATTTGATAAAACCAAAATGTATTCCCACGTTTGATTTTAAAAAGACCGAAACGGAGTAATGGTTAAAATAATTGACGATATCACACATATACTAATGAACCCAAATCTCTCATAAACTAATAATTTACCTGACCAAATTAGAGTAATCATTCAGATATCTGAAATAAGACCAACCTGTCCAAGACTACTAAACAATTTGTCAGCCACCTCGAGCATATTGTAAAATATATACAGTTTGATAACACCTTGACCGCGTACCTGAAACGCTCATCGATATCGCTTCAAACGACTACTTAACTTTACTGACAATCAATAAAACAATCAAAGACCAAAGAATTAAAGCTTGCGCAGCTATTTTTACCTATCATACACTCATACAGCATGCAAAATGAAAACAAATTTGAATGTATTAAGTGGTATTCATGACAGAACACGCTAAAACCGTAAAACAATCAGTAGAGCAGAATTTTGAAAAATAATGGTCAAGTGTACATGAAGAGGATCTGTACCTGATGATACATAACTGATGTGTCAACAATCTGCATAAGGAATGAAACAAATATAACAATGGCTGCCTTCAAAAAATCACAAGTATCCGACGGTGTCCATTTTCGTAATCTCAATAACCATCCAAATAAACAAATCTGCAATTCACTTTGAATTCAACTGATCAGGAAAAAACATATTTGCCGCTAAAAAATTTCACATTAGCAATGTAAAATTGAACAATTTCACGATTATGCAAATGCAAAAGCAATGAGAATTCGTCAGAAATTCAATTCCAAATAATGTGTAAAAACTCACAAAAAGCCGAACGGGTAGAAATGTTGTAAGATGACAAAAAGCTTCAATACACTGCATAAACCCAAAAAACAAGAATTTCTCCAACTCGATCGGTATCTGTATGAAGGCGTAAACCTTTTTCCGCTTTTCCATATACCGATTCACGTCATTTTGTAGCGAGTAACAACTGCAGTAGAGAAGCATGTCAACGATTTATGAGTGTATCTGATCAGTGACAAGTGATGGAAGACCTCAGGTATAATTCGACTTGCGAATGGTGCAAAAGGTACCGTTTTCAAATGCAGATACAAAACTTTTCAGAAGAGGTTCATTCAAGTTTTAGGTGCAATGATACCGGAATGTTTTATCCTTCTTTCTACAGGATAAGGACAAGCTGATCAGTATTTTAAGGAATGTCTTTACAATTCATTTATCATTCGAACAACCTGGAAAAGCAACCTCGTAAGTTCTCGCCAAATAAATTGCCATAGACTGAATGGCTGGATCGGTTCCTCTTGATTGGTGGCTTCGGGAGTTTCCTCTTCGGAGAGGAGCTCTTCATCCGATTCATCACGCATTTNTTCACCCTCCACAAACACCCGTGGATATTTGATATTTAACGAAGGCTCTTTTGCAAGTTCTTCACATGCGGTGGAGTCACCAACGACCAGTCGTGCTACTCGCCCTCGTCGTCGTAATTTCACTTTGTTTATTTCATCTTCATTTTCACTTTCATTCATCGTTTACCACTAAAAACAGATTCATCTTCATTTCCATATTCAACGAAGCATTCGTCCTAAGCCTGATCACATCATGAATATCAACAAAATTTCTAAATCGGCCATCAACACTTACAAAACAAACAGTAAACGGACTTTTAAACGTGCAACTGGCTTCAGACGAAGTTTTTCAACCTATTGCAAATAAAATTAAACAGCTTATTTCACGAATTTCAATGAGTGACTGCAAAATCTTGCTGCAAATTTCTTTCATAGGCACTTAAAGTTCCGTTTAAACGTAAGCATTTTGTGCCAAATCGACAGCTTCGTCGCAAATGGACAAGGGGCGTGTACCAAAGATAGAGTGCAGTGCTAGGTGCGAATGTGACGGTAATCATTTGATCCCTATCAAAATCGCATTTTCGAATTTTCAAGGCTAAAGTACCCAAAAATCTTCCATGTAAAATTTATGCCAATCAAATTCCCGGAAAATCTTTCTTCTACAAACTTTCGCAATTGACATTCGCGAGATACTTCTTTCTCCCCTAATTTCTGGGATGAAAATGTGCAACGATATGTTTCAATCGAAAAAATATGCATACAAAAATGTGAAAATATGATGCACAATATGTATGTATATATGCAAAAAATATTTATGCAAAAAATATGCAAATTTCTATCGTATGTAAAAATCAGAAAAAAAAAACAATATTTCCGTGGAAGGCCTTTCTTCTGAAATTCTCAAACCTGACATTCCAAAAACATTTCTCCAAAAATTACACCGAAATTACCGAAAAATCCTTCATATCGAATTCCTGGAGCTAAAATATAGGAACTAGGCAAAATTTTCGGAAATTCTCTCATTTGAAAAGATTAACACCAACTGTCATGTAAAATTATAATATCACAATGAATGGCTCTGATCTGGCAACGCAATGGAACAAAAGACCCAAAACGTAAACTCAATTCAGTTCTACATTGTTCCAGTTCAGTTTTGCATAATTTTAATTGAGTGTTCTACCTGAAATGCAAATATTTATTCATTTAATCAGCAAATGCAACTCTTTAGGAGTCTATGCCTCTTCTTCGCTCATATCAAAGATGCACCTATCAAATACATGCAAGAGCGGAGAAATGACTGATTGGTTCCAATCGGGTCTGAACGCTCATTCGTTTGTTTTTGCGTTTGCAAGAGATGGTTCGTCCCCGGCTGAGGTATTTTGGATGTACTGTGCTGTATGTATTATTTCTCTGCGCTGCTATTCAATCGGGAGCAAGCGTGCAAGCATCCCACCAAACTATTGCTATCGTCAAAAACGATACGAATCATTCATCACGAAGTCTCATCAATTCAGAAAGAATTGCAACCAATCATTCATCCACTTTATCTTCGATGAAACTGCAGCCAAATTTCGTCACATGGCTAGAGAGAGGTCATCAATCCAAAGGAATCAATTCAGAATTCAGAAGCTGGAAGCGAACTCGACAAAATCTGAGTTTAAATGCTACCTCAGCAAAGTTGCCATCACAGTCCAGAAGAGATACAAAAGATGTCAAACTTTTACGAAGACAACGTGATATTATGAATTCACGACAAACTGCTAGACCGATTGGTTTGTCAGCCGCAGAAGAAGAAGAATTACTGGAGCGATTCCGTATGATGCTGATGAGCTCATCGATAACGGCAAGCGCATTGGCAGTGATTTGTTTGCTGATTGCGTTACGGATTGTGTGCTTTGAACGAATGCACATCAACAGACGTTTGATTTTGCTGAATGAGAAGGTGAATGCGTTGGAGACGCGATTGGGTTCAAGGCAACTACCGGAATCATTGCAGCTGAAGTTATGTCAGGTGATTGGTATCAGTTATGAACGCATCAAAGAGGAACGTCAAAAAGCGGCACAAGATATCGCTAACGACGAACGTATGCTAATGAATGAAATGGTGAATGAAACGACCGCATCACTCTATGACACGATGAGGGGTATTGAGGGGAATGTCTTCGATCGAAAAGCCGAAAGAATGATCGCAGAAGCGGCCGACAAGTATGAATTTCTCGGCGAACCATTAAATGAAGCGGCAAAAAAGAACGTGCTTTCTTCGGATAATGGTTATGAGTGCTACGGGGGCGGTGTGCAGCAAGTTGATGCCGAGAAAAAGTCATCAAAAGAAAGTGTCGATGAGAAAGCGGGGAATAAAGTGTCGAAGCAAAAAGTCTCGAATGTTGTTTTCGACACGAAAAACAGTACTGAAAGATGTGTAGACAAAAAGAAGACACCGACAGTGTGTGGCATAAATGAGACTGTGGGGTTCAAACCATCTAAAGAGGATGCGCAAACACACAATGATCAAATACGAGCTCCAACTACGGGTGGAATTGCGGCAACGAATGATCCAAATTATGCAACGTTAAATCGAATGGACAACGATCAGGTATTCAAGGTAAAACGAACACAGACTGAGCATGAATTCAGCAATCAAGCGCCTCTTCCAGAAATCAAGCAGCCATTAGTTGGTGGAATAGCCGATGAGGGTGATCCCCATTATGAAACACTCCATGGAATTGATAACACTAAAGTATTTCAAAAAAAGTAGTGAATTAATTGTTTGTTATTGTATGATAGTTTTCACAGTGAATCATTCTCAGGCTTGAACGCAAAAACACCTCTTTTAGGACTTTGTTTCAGGCTGATCTCTTCAGTGAACTTTTGTCTTGTTGAATAGCCGAAATCGAAATTGTTCATCTTAGAATAGTGCCGAACGACTTCGTGTAATTGTACTTCGTAGACATTTCACACCAAACAAAAGACTCAATCTCTGTTCCAAAGTTTCCGCCCCTCAAACTTGTGTTGTGTTGCTTTCTTTGCGTTCTTTATCATGCTTTGTGTTTGCTCATAAACGTGAACATTCGCTATTCATAATAGAAATATTTTATTGATAAATTGATTTGTTATTACAAATAAGAATATCAAGACGAATCAATTTTATACACAGCAAAGAAACGAAAAACAAGGAATAAACGAGAACAAGTAAATTAACCAAAAAAATCGAGCAAATGACAGGGTTTCATTGTGTAATCCTTTATCTATCAAAACATAACATCAGAAAAATAAATTCACAAATGCAAATGTCTTAGAGGAGTGTATTGCAGTCATACTTGACTTGAACAGGTTCAGAATCCATCTGATCAGATATTTACCGTTGACGTGAAGAATCTCCAGATAAAATACCATATAATATTGGATAAGAACGGCGTCATTGGTTATTAAAAAATCATACAATAACACAACAGTCTTTATACAACAAAACGAAAATAATCACAATAACGACAAAAAAATTTCTGAAAACGTCAAATAGACTATTTGTTGGATCAGTTGAAATTGATGAGATTCAATTTGACAACTAGGATATCTTAAAAGATCAATTTCTAAACCAATCGTAAACTGAATCAATCACAATTTCTTGAGGATTGACCGAAAGCAATAAATCTGAATGAGTCAGTCGTGAGTCGTTTGGCTAAGTACTCTGTAGTGATGGGCCTCCAAAGAGATGAAATAATACCACACGATTAGTGTGCTCGAGTGGGAGACTTTCGAAATTGGATCGTTTTGCTTAGAAGTATCTGAATTTCAGTATATTAACGAAATGAATCGTATAAATTTAAAGTCGACTGAAGTGATTTTATTAGTGATCATAGCCATTTCAGTGAGTGGGAACGTGACCGATTCCGACTTCACTGATTCAACTCAATTACAAAATTTCCTTCGAACATTTTGGAAAAATCCTGGAATTTAAACGACTCGGCATATCTCTTAATGACAAATTCCAATTGTTTTTTTTTTTTGCAAACTGACAGAAGGATCATTAGGGCGAGCATATGAATGCGAGTAGAATAAAATGAAACGGATGACATTCGATGATAAAAATATTTTAAGTGTTCAAAATGACAAAGGAATGTTAAATTTTTTGACGTGGACTGCAAGACACGACAATGATGACCGTCTTCAAGGTTGAAATTTAGGAAAAAAAACGAAGTCGTTCCTGAATAAGTTGCATAAGCCAGGCGTAAAGTTCAGGGGGCAGCATTTGATCAGAATTACGAATGGAAAGTGCAAAACATTCAGAATTCACGTCAGCCAATAGAGCAAATTGCCTTAATTCCAAGCACGGCAAATAAGAGCAGAATCGTAAACGATGGACGATGTGTTGAATTGCACAGATCGCTCGTGCAGAAACATTTCGTCGCTTTTGTTGCACTGAAAGAGAAAAGTTTAGCTGCGAGAAATTACTTGCGTAATTAAAATTACTTGACTATAATGTTCTTGGTTACTTAAGTGATCCGTTCTTATTGCTCTACTTCTCTAAACTATCGTTGTATTCGAACGCAGTTTTGAGTCTATTCATTCCCCGATCACTTATGTTCAATGTAAAAACAACAGTCAATAATGGGTTCAAAAGCAAAGAGTATGTGAAGTTTTCACAAAAAAAAAGTTCCATTAAATGGATGTAGCCAAAATGGTTGCCGTAGGCGATCGTAACGTTGATATGAAACGAAGAAGCCAGCAGATAATCTGGATAGAAACAGATAACTTTGAGATGAAATCTTCGATCAGTTAAAATGAGTAATCGCAACACTAGTCTTACCCTTCAACCACAACGTCAACGCATTCGCCATCTGCCATCTTTCGCTCTTCGATGCTCGCACATCGTTTCTCAACATAATATGTATTATCCTGAAAATTTGCAGTCATCTTTTCAAAACTACTGATGAGGCCATCATTTCGAATCACCTAATAACAAAACTAACTGAATTTCCCTGGCCTAACATCATGAATTCAAACTTAGCTTACGAAAATTCCAAGCTGTCATCCTAATAACACATCGCAAATTCTTAATAACCATCTTGACACCTATCACCAATGATATAAGTAACGCTTACCCCTAAATTGATAACTGGATATGCAAATATGTTAACTTTTAAGTGTCAACCAATTTTTCGCCATTCAATTAGATTCTTTGAGAATTAAATGATGATACCTCTCGCTACTTCTCATTCTTTTCAGACGTGTTCTATTCACTCTCNTTGATGAGTTTTTCTCATTCATTTCATCTCATTTCGCTTCACAGTTCAAATCAGTTTCTTATTCTGTAGCATGTACTATTTCCTGGACATATTGACGAGTGTTGACAGCCGAAATCAGCAATACAGCAACCGAACTGAATTGCTCAACAACGTTTGACAATCAAATGATCAATTATAGAGTGTATTTGATAGAATGAGAATTTGACTTTAATTGCTGAATGAAATGAATGAGAAATAAACAAAAGAGAACACCTTTGGGTATAACAGCTATGAGAGTGATTGTAACAGCAAGGAAACGAATGAAAACCCTATTAAAACAGTAAAAAATGAACCCTGTTAGGCCCAGACGAGCTAATGATACACAGAAAATAGGAAAATTAAGAGTGTTGCCATCAACTAACTGCATTTACATATCCGAGTTAAAAAACACCATCACAATGGCGTTCTGTCATAAAATACTAACTGCACGAAATACTCACTTCTCGACCTCTTCCATTACCCTCCCCCCGACACTTCAAAATTACTCAAAATGGGTAATTTCACCTCCTCTGAGAACCGCTGTGCTATATGCTGTCAACAACAACCGATGTTATAGGAATAACCTATTACAGTAATATAGCGACAAGTAAGTGCCCTTACCATGTTCTTTCCATTAATGTAGACACATCCAACTGGTGATCTGGAGCTAGTGCAGTTCATTGCTGTTGGTTCACCTTTGCAATCTGAAGTTGGGGCACTGAGAAATACACCACACGAATAACACTGCAATGCTGAGGCGGTACATGGTATCAGCAATAATAACAGCAATAACATCTCTGAAAATGCATTCAACTTTTGAGAGAAGTAACCCCTGAATAATCATTCACGATCGAACAATTTTCGCGAGTCTCTTCGAGGGTCACACTCGTTGGCTCCCTAACAAAAAAGCTCCACGAAGGGAATTTCTCGCACTTCTGCTTGCAATCAATCACGAACGATATCTTCACGTTCACATTGCTTTATGAATGAAAAAAGTGAAAAACTTAAAATAAGAAAATTAGAACGCATTCGTCGCAGAGACTTATCTTTTTGGTAGTGATGAAAGAGTGAATTTGCAGAGGTTCGAAACAAAATTGCATTTGACGATAAATTGGAGACAATTACGGAAAACGTTTCGTTTTGTTTCTAGGGAAATTGATTGAGAACATTGGAGAATACTAACGAAAAGCGACTAACTGAAAAGAATTTGAGTATATTCAAGAGAGAAGAAATACATTTGATGGTTGTTTGCTCATTTCCTTAAAAAACAGAGAAACTTTTTTTGGCAAAGCACTCACTGGAAGAATACTAAACACTTTAGTGTGGTCTATCGATAATTGAATTTTAAAAGATATCTTCGAAATATCCAGCAATAATTTCACGATATATTTCAACTTTCCAAACAGATATTAGAAGATGATTCGAGTTGGGTGAGAAATTAAAGGCAGCAGTCGCACTGAATGGCAGTACAATAACTCATAGACACGGTTCATTTGAAGATCAGAAGTTGAAAACTAGAATATCGACATTAAAACGCAATGATAAAGTTATGGAGTGCTGAAACTCATACCATTGTAATGATCGAATGCAATCGTAAAGTTTCGATTATATTGCAAATATGTGAACGCATACGCAATTCATGCTATAAAATATGATATCCGAATTTCAAAAAAAAACAACAATATATGTAGCAATGTGCGTGGACCTGGATAATCATCAATACAGCTGAGTGTGGAAGGCGATTTGTGAGGAGAATATTGAAATATGAATTGTGGAAACGATAGCGTTTGAAATGTGTTGCGTTTTCCAGTAACATTTTCAGCCGAGCAAATTCTTTTCGAGCGCACACCCCTTTGTTTGTCATTTACAAATTACGAACAGAATTGATGGCTCGAGAATATCTCAAATGATCAAAAAAGCTTTTTTGCAATGAACAATTGAGCCGATAGCGCTGGAATGATTACGCGATTGAAGTTGCCGCAGAAATGTTTGGATGATTTTCAAACGTAACTTAATTAAGACTGACTTATTTCATCAGGAAATTGAAAACTGCGACGTAATTAACCGCATGTGTTCGACTACATCGCAAAGTGATAAATCACACAAATTTTTGATCGATCGCACCTTCACAAATCGTTCAGTGCTTCGTCTCAGTTTGAAAAGTACTGTGTCTACTTGTTATTTTAAGCATGAAATCATTTTGGACTAGTCAGTGCAAAATCAATAATATTCGTGAATTTCATACATATACCGTTTAATGGTAGCAATATCCGATGGCAGCCTGAAAATGATTGATACCATAGTAACGGAGAGACAAAAACAATATAAGTGGAAGAAAACAACGTCGTTATCAGATACTCTTTTGCCGTTTAAATACAAGTTTCAGAAGAAGATAACAGGGATGGTTTTATGGTGTCGTCAGCTTATGATTACTAGTTGATAGGATTAAATGAACAATCTGTTGTTTTTTTTTCGGAGAAACATCAAAGAGAATATGGAACCGACAAGAGAACACTCAAAAACAGCCCAAATGATCGATGTATTGTCTGTAACCATTCATCACCAACAACCATCCGAAGCGAAGCGTAAAACCTCTGTTCAGTGATTTTTTGTCAACAGATTCTACCATAAATATGAGAGTCCCGCATACTTCTGATAAGACTATATTTCCATGATGGCCAGATCAATAACCAGGACTGAATTTCATGAAGCCCTACGATATTTTCGTTAGCGGTGTGAAAGGATGTCAAGGAATGAATATAATTATTCTGCAGCAAACCGCAACATTTGCTGCAATAGCAAGTGATAAGCGAAGAGAACGGTGGATGTAACGAACGAATAAACAAATGAATGAATGCGTATTATCAGAGCACTACTGATAGCAAAACTCATAAATATCAAAAGTAATTGTAAACGGCTAAAACACAACATCAAGAACGTCGTTCATAAGAATAATTACTTTAAGAATGGTATCGCCGACTGATGAGAGTATCGAGAGCATAATGTAGTCAACGGATCAGGGATAAAAGAAGTGATTAGAACTGCTGTTGCCGGATTATGTGATTGCCTTGATTAAGCGCGACGTTCAGCTTTTGCGGTGTATTTGCTGTTGTTGTTTATGTGTTCAACGAAATGCAAACATCAATGACTACTCACTCGCAAAAACAACATGCATATTGCATACTGCGGTCGCGATGATGGCTTATTGGTTGTTTTTAGCCGAGCATTTAAGGAGCACGGACCATGGGCACGGTCTGACGATTGGACACTTACTTATTTTATATCCAACAGCTATCGGACGGGACGTTAGAAGTGATCGTTGAGTATTCAGTATTCAGCTAGCAAACATAATACGTGTGCATCTTCCTTCGATTTTGTTCGAGCATCAAGTAACACATTGATCGATTTGTTTTCGACTTCGTCCATAACGTTTGAAGTTCTCTCATTCGTTGTTATTTCATTCAATCGTAAACACTAACATATTTGATTCAAATTCGTACTTCTGGTGGTATTACATTTTGGTGCTTAAAATGTTCAGATTTCCTGAATTCTCATCACGCAATTCAAAAGTTTGCTTATAAGCGTTTCAATAGCACGTTCTTTATTACAACGATGATTCTGTAATAGACCAAAGAAATAATGCAACGTTGGTGTTGATTGGGTTCTTCAAGAAATGTGCTTCGTTTCGATTTTAAGAATTTCAATAGACACTCATAAAGACTGCTTCTGGTAGGCGACTCACTCGTGAATATGAGACAAACATAAAAAAGAATCGGGAATACAAGGTTCTAAGTATGATGAATTACCCGCCTTAGCACTTGTTGAATGAAATATTCCATATCAGCAGCAAGAAAACGAAGTCTTCAGATCTGTTCACGCATCAAACTGTGAACAATTTTAACAGATGTCGAAGAAAGTTTCGGAAGATTGAGGAAAGAAGCCATAAATTGAGTTCATCTGAATTTCACAAAATTCAATAAGAAATTTGAGCAAACGAAAATGCTTCAAAACTTAATTACTATTGATAAAATGAGCGTTGAATGAGTTGTAATCGCGATGAATAGCGGCATGCACGAGAACAACCCTTGCTTATAATTAGATATTTATTTCGATGGCACAAAAGCGATAAAACAATCAAATTTCTGGTGGTAGAATAGCAAAATCTCACATATCAACATCATTCATTTAATGCTCAATAGTTTCGTCAATACACACAAAATGTTATTCAGATTAATATTATATTATCAACAGTCTCTCGATTCAAATATGTTAACTGAATGTTCACTAGTGTTGATGCAAGATGAATGATGTGTTTGAAGCGCAGTTGGACTAATCAGCAGTAAAAATGCATCAAAAGCAGTGGAATCCCTCGACATCTACAAGAAAATAAATCATAAATTGAGCCAAATGTCCCTAAATGAATCTTTTTGCACAGAAGTCATTACTTTCAAGCAGGAAAGTTCAGAAAACTTGAGTAATTGAGAATAACCAGTAAACTGATTGAGACTGCAACGACTCAGCCCCATAAGCGGTGAATTCAATTGATTTGAAAATGGATGCTGAATCGATAAGATAAATTCAAAATGCACTCAAGAATGTGGAACTATCAAGATTTGAGACATCCAAAGGTCATCAAAATATCGAATTTAAAAAATAACATAATGAACTACCGAAAATAATTAATTTTTGCCAATATTTTCAAAAATTTCAGTTATAAATAAGTGTGCGATTGATTCCGTGCATAAAATGTGTGTATAATAATGAGCAAAAGAAATAAAGCTGGCGGCAGGCAGGCAGACGGGCAAAGCACTAATTAAATCGGCACTTCAAGGGGTATCTTGTTAGGGAGGGGAGTGAATTTCAAGAGGTTACTGTTGAGGATGTGACTGTTGAGGATGCATTAATCATCGATTGATTAAGCCGATTGTCGTTTGAATACACAATTAATATCGCAAAATGGTGTGTGCTCGTGCAGAGCACTTTGGATAATATTTGCATACTGAGAACAAATATACCCTCTGAAAGTAGTGGCGTTGGGTATTGATGTGTTCTTGAGGATATCTCAGAGATAACAATGACCTTCATTCGAGAACATATATACGGCGTGTTGTTGTTGTAGTCCTAATCGAATTGTTTATTTATACATGCAATGATAATTTGATATAATGTCGTTAACATTACACCATTACAATCAATCATTATGCAAACGTCGATTGATGCATTCATAAACAACAGTATTCGCTGAGAATGTCCTTTGGATGAAACATACTGTCCGTCTGATCGTTTAGATTTTTGTTGAGATCTTTCGATTTTCTTTAGATTATTAAAAATTTGATTGCAAACACCCCAAAATCGTTGTAATTCAAAGAAATCTTGATACTAACAATCAGTGTGAGAAAAGTATTATTTATATAATTCATAAACACTTAGTCATTATCCGAAACAACAAATGACAATGTCACAATTACTTAACAAACAATCGTTCAAATTCAAAATTTTCCAGTTTTCGCAAAGCGACACATTATTGATCACCGACTTTATGATCGTTATCGCTTTTTGCTTCAGTTTCATCAACTTTCACCGGAACGTACTGAGTCCTCTGCGATGTCACAACGCCTTCTTCAGCCTGCACTTACATCGTTTCATCGAAACGTCCAATTGTTTGTTTATTTTGAAAGTGTCAAAAGAATCTATCAAACAATCCATCAAGTAATATTGACTTTAAATTATTTCGTTTCAATTCATCAGCGGTGCAAGTGATGGAGCACTCGAGTAGAGTGTGAACACCAGCACTGAGCCAGCAACCACAAATGCACTTTTGTCATGAGCAGTTAGCAGCCAAAAGTAACCAAACTCATCAGCGGTGAGTGCGAACGGCTCAAAAATTTCATTTTGTGTCATAAACAGCAAGTGACCAAATACCCTTTCTAAAAAATCCTCCATCAATGATCACAACCTTTTGGATAATCAGCTCGTCTGCTTTGATCGATGAATACATCAAAAATTTTTGTATGTACTACTTACCAGGCATGCATAGCATTGTTCGTGAATCTCCGAAAAGCACACTTTGCAGTATATTGCCGGACATTTTGGGTTGCTACACCTGACCACTTGGTTGTTTCGGTATTTCATCTCGCATAATAGACATTTATTCATCGCGAACAGTCGCTCGATTATTTGCTGCACGAACGTATCGGCAAAGAGCCTTCTTGAAATAATTATCACATTATTCAATTTGCTCACATCTTGATGAAATCTATAAAGTCTCAACTAAAAAGTTCACTCGCAGCATCCAAACTTCACTAAATTTTTGTTGCAGTTTAGATTTCATAAATCAGCAGTTAATTCATAATCGGTGAACAAGCTATATTATTGGACCCTTGCTGCGCGATTGCTTCGTGCTGCAGTAGATGACGTTCCACTTGATAGCGAATGCGTGCTCTCGCCAATCGTCTGCCGTTAACCCGTGCAAACAAGAGTTTATTGTAGAGCTGAATAGTTCTCGTTTTGTTGCGCTTACGGAATATGCCACCGATTACATAGAACAGTATTAGGCGTTTTATAAAATAGCCGAATATCACCTGAAATGCATTTGAACTCAGCGATGCCTGAGACATTATTGTTTACGAATGTTTTGAATGGGAAATCAGAGAGATTTAATCTCATTAGAAGAATGCTTTTTTCATTCATTTCCACAGTGCATATCTCATTTGTTAATGATTTTATTTCGGGCATCTTACAAACACGTCTTTCTCCGCCAGCGAGGAGTTGGCGATGAGCGAAAAATGAGTTGAAAATTAATGATTTTCAAATTCTCAACTTCCGACTGCACGATGGAATAAGATGATCCTATTTTAGCGGGCATTCATCAGTTCAATAACAATAATTGCCCCAATAAATGCAATAATATGGCAGTTTATTGTGGTAAAATGTTGAAGAATGACCTGCAAAATAAGCATCAACAATAACGGAAGTATAATGTGAATCCAACTGAACAACCAGTCAGGCGGCGATGGCTCTAAACGGCATTGTTCTGATGGAATCGTCAAGTTGACGTTTTGATCAAAGTCATGATTTACCATATCTCTTACCAAATCAGCCACAAATCCAACGCCTTTTATCTGCAAACAGACGATATCCTTGCAAGTATGACTCGAACATCAGAAAAAAACTAGATATTGTCATCAATGACGAGATTGCTTCATGAACACATCAAATGTCATAACTTACGTCAAGATGAAAACTTTGCTTTCCTCCACTGGTAACTGATGTGGCAGTGAATCGTATCACCTGTAATTGGAACAGGTATAATACTTCATATTTCGTATTCAGTTATCACTTATAAGAGAGTGATCTCCGAGACGAATCGATCATAATCTTGATCAAATATCGATCAATTCGTTAATTCTAGTGTTCGTATCAGTACCTATTGGCAGTAGTCACATAAAAGCTTAAGCATCATGATATCTTCTATGCACGAATAGAGTTGTTTCAGAGCTGATGGATAAAGATGTATGAAATACGTGTAATCGCGAAAATGCTATTCAACGCATTTCATTTTCAAATCACGATTATGCAAAAATAACATGAAATCGACACATTATGTCAATAAATGGAATCTTTAGGATAACAATCTGAACAGTCACGAATTTTCCCATACGGATGGATACCTCATTTGTGATTGCATAAAAGAAATAATCAACCATCATGACCAATAAACAAACAACGGATGCTATGCAAAATCTAGCCAACGGCTGCCATGATGCTTCGATCTCATCACTCGTTGGAGGTCTAAAAAATGTATCAAATTGACAAATTCTTTTCAAAAATTCCATAAATTCGATTCCTATCGTTCAAATTTAGTCGCATTTATGGAGTGTTATAAATTTTCCTCGTGAATCTGATAACTTGTACACATAGCTGACTTTGACGGGTTGATTATAATTTCCATTTGCAAATAAAATTGAATGAATTTTCAGCATCAAACTCGAGCTGCAATCAAACCAACGAACGAGAATGGTTTCATTAATCGATTAGCTTTCCATTCAGCTCTCGATAACGGATTCAAGAAGACTTGACCATTTTCTTGACGTTTTTCGTCGATGCGCCAGAAATAGGAATTAAGGAAAACATTTTTGAAATCGATATTATTCAAATAATTTCGAATCATTTGAATCGAATCACGAAAGAGTGTATAGAGTAAAAAGATGAACAGACAACCGAGAAGACTTTTCAGCGTTTTGAAAACAACCTGAAAACAGCAAGTTTTTGAGTGAGAAGAATCATTTATCGCTCGGATATTTCAGCACATACTACGGTTCGAATAGAAGCTTGAATGAAAGACTGCGAATGAAGAAAATTTCATTGGGATTTCCTTTGAAGATAACCTTTATTATGTGGAATCTTTGCGATATTCTGTAATAAACTTGTTTGACACGATAGGCGCGCGTAATTCTTGGTTCAACAATAGCCTTATAATGCATCTGAATAATCATTACATTCACCCAATTAATGAGACTCAATTAATCGCTGAAAAGGTTCCCGTTATCGCTAACGCCACTGTCGACTGCTGAACTCATATCTTCAATTGCGTTACATCAATGAACTGCAATTAGCCTTTCAATAGTATCAATAACTTTTGTAGCGGATATAGTCGATATGTTAATGAATGTGACATGCATTACATTCACTCTGAGGTGATCCAGCACCTCTTCAGTGATATTGTTCATCTGGTCCGTATCTGTATCGATGCTTTTTGATCTTTGCAACGCCCCCTGCATCATTTCGTTGCAGAATCGTGTTGCTTCTTGATGCTGAATTCAATTTCACTTGCTATTTTCATAGTAATAGTCAACAAATTATTCATGGAAATATCACTCTTTCACATTTTAAATTCTATAAAACATAGCACAATTTTTCAGTGATTTCAGAAATGTGAATTAACCAAGAACGAATTAGTCAGCAGTATTATAAGTCAATCGGGAATGTGAATTTTCATGCTTTGATTATGATCAAACTATAGATCAGATTGCATTCAGCTCTCATTCATTCGATCATGAGTTTTTCCTCGCAATCAACGGTTGTACAGTTGAAAGACGAAAGGAACGGCGCATGGAAACCTTTTCGGATGCTTGACAAATGTGCAGAACATCGAATTTTCCACAGACCACTCTGTTCAAAAACGGTAAGAACCATAGCATATTATAACATTTACTCTGAATCAAAATGTCTCAATTCTCGAGAATAACATCACCTGTCTGACTTCTTAGAAGTTCAAGTTCTCAATAGCCGTAACGTAGTAAATGAAAATGGCAACAAATCAACCGATATCAGTGTCTCGAAAATTCAGGATTAAACTCGAATTTTAATGAATATTATTTCAGTTTCACAATTGCAAAGATTGTTATTTAGAGTAAATATTATTGAGTCAATTATTTATGGTGAACTGCTGCATTTCATTTGAGTGTAGCCATTGATCAATACTGAATATGGACGAAACCTTCATATCTCGAAATTTGTCGTGACATTTCTTGATGCCTTTATCGAACACTTCGTTACATTGAAGATACAAACGCATTGTTTGCAATTTGGCCGTCTGCAATTTAGAACCAACGGCCAAACGTTAAATGCAAATAATAATGCTAAACGCAAGCGACGAGCATTGATCCGATTTTTGTTAGCATTCCTATTATAGCACACACCAAGACAAGCTCCAGGGCCTACTTCAAGCAAAGCAGTTCGAGAATGTGTCGAGCGTTCTCGATTCACTATCAAGTAACTGCTTCTAACTTGAACACTTCCAATTTTTCACTGGAATGAGCTGAATGCAAAAATTGATTAGAGAATACCTTTGATTTAAGTTTATTCCAAACCGGTTTGACGTCCTCATTCGAAATGCTATCTTTTTTCTCATTGAGCATTACATCTCTTGTTTTCAACACCTTCAATTCATCTCCAGCCATAGTTTACAAGATCAATCCAGTTCAAGTATTTTATAATATCTTACGAGATCAGTGTTTTCTTATCATGAATGAATGAGAAAGTTCCCGCTAGAGAATGATGGCTATCATTCTAAAAATTAAGATAACGGCCAATCTTCGAATAGCTGTTGAATTTTTGTTTTTTTCTATAAGTCATTCTGCGATTATACTAAGCATTTGCGTCAATACCGAAAAGTGATATTTATGAACCTCAGCGTTATCAATGGTAGCTGCAATCGCCTTATCTTCATCACTCAACGTCATATCGTATGCGATCGGATCGACGAGTGCTTTCAGCATGTGCACCATCTTACGACCTTTCGTTGTCGACTTACCTTCAACTTGCCCATATATCTCATCCAATCATGTAACATATCAACTTCGCCTCATCTCTTATGAACTTCTACCTTCAAACGAATTCTTTCAATCTATCACTTCAGCACTTCTTATCAGCACAGCTAAAATCACTGACACTCAACACAATGCTGAAGCCATGCTCAATTCTCCCTTCAGAACACCGTTTTTACACCGTTCGGCTCGAAAAAAGTCAGAATTGTGTGATATCCACTCAAATGATTCAAATATGGATAACTAGAATCATCGAATTACTAAAATTGTCGAATCACGGAACAAATAAGTAAAATGATTTATGATTCATTTTGCGAGAATCATTTTTTGATGAATCAACTCTTTTGATGAAGTCGAACCGAATTTGTCAGCAAGAAAAGCTTCAATCGGTCCGGTTGACATGACGATCCTTTCAGTGGCCAGTTGTTCTTTGAGCTTGAGGTGACACGTGATAATATATGATGAGAGGTTGAAATTAGTCATAATATTTTTGATTGGTCCATCGTGAAGATTTGTGAACACGTGAACAGACAATAAGCCTTGACCATTCTTGCCTAGCGATCCGAATAGGACACATACAATTGCACATCGGTATACCTATTGGATGATTATTTCGGAAATAATACAGCATGAGCATGTCACTGGCAGGGATTGTGATTATTTTGGTGAAATTATGTTGCAGGTAGAATCACTATCGCAACTAGTAAAATGTGCTTCGTGAATTGCGCTTGTTTAGTGAGAAGTTCTGTTCGGACGTTTCTGAAAATAAATTGACTGCAGAACTGAGTCAAAAAGAAGATTCATAGTACAAACCGGGCTTATGGCAAACGTCACCGAACTTGTCATAATGATGATCCACTTGAACAACTGCTCGTAGAGAGGGTCAAAATCGGCAAAATTAACACGATTCCATGCTGAACGCACTCAATTAATCACTCACTCAATTCTTGTGCAATTCAATGAAATACTCATCTATTTTAGAATGAACTCGTCCAAAACTTTGCCCTATTGATGACAGTGGAACATCTTAACAATGTGAATAATGATCACAGCAGAGTCACAAACTCACCAAGTGCATAGAGAAAGTAGGAGATAACGAAACCAATCGGAAAGTTGATCATATAGCGAAGTATGCGATAATCATAAACTCCACTATAGTAGAAAATGTCGGCCATTTTCGACCGCCCCAAAGCTTGCCTCCGTCCCTCTCGGTAACGCTCCACAAAAAGCAAATCATAAAGAGACCGCATTCAAGGCTAGCAACTCAAGCAATAAAAAACTCAAACACTCTAACTTCGTTCATTTGAGCTTTTTGGAACAGTAAAAATTAATTTGAATTTTAACGAAATTTAAGATGAAAATTTTTGATCATTTGGTGATGCAAATATTTTGTGCTTCCTCAGATCGTATTCAATTCTCCACGGCGATAACAGCACATCGATCGAAGCATTTCTTATGTCATTCGCTCAATCCGCTGGAATTCTTTAGGTTCGTGTACACTAAGAGTGAATTTTTGAATGAATGCAGTAAAATCACGGTTGTTTGCTTTATGAACGTTGCTTATGTCATAGACAATATTAACGGAAACGTTTATTCCAGGCAAACAAACAAATATAACAACAAAAAACAAACAATAACACAAATCAATCCGTTAACTTTATCAACAATATCAAATATGAACCAATGTTTCCGTTGTTTTCAAGGAAATAACAAAATCTAGATAATCAGCACAAATTCTCCGAGCAAAATCTGACGAGAAAAAAAGCAACAACTTCCCCGATGGGATATATGTTTTTACAAGTGGGAATTTTCCAAGGAAAAGAACAAATCCCGTTTGAACTTGGTTCCTACCCTCTCAGTGGATCGCATACTAATTTCCCGACGATACGAATCACCTCGGAATGCTCAATATGACAAAAACTTATCATCAACCATTGTATTTGATCACACAAAAGTGATAACTCCTCAATCGAAATTCATGACAAATTATCACTTCTGCTTGCAGTGACTATCAAGTGCACTCAAAAACCAGCGACAACAATCGCCATGCTTCACCATTCTCTTGATAAAACCCCAACAAAATTCCATTCACTGATAACATTTCTTAATGTGCATTCAACAAGAAATGACGATGATCTATGAAGAAAATGAGTCGAAAAAGAACGAAATTATAGTCTGATGAACAATGCAAAACGAAAAAAAGTGTTGGTATAAACGTGAATGAGTAATGTGCCATCAAGACACGCTGCTCAGCACACTCAACAGAGTGCTGAAATCAAACTGAAACATCACACAACACAGTAATGAAACAGAGCCTAAACAAAATATTTTTCCATACAGCAGTATTTATATTGAAATTTAAACCGTTTCCAAAGCTGAAACCAAGAAGATTGTTTGAATAAGAAGAAATAATCGAATACAGTGGATACCTAAACTTAACCCCGCGATCTGCAGTTTTCTTCGCAAAGACAAATATTACCAACACAACCGAACTAAAGATGGCTAATTTTTCAAAAGTCAATTGATTTCGAGAGCGCTTCATGGAATTTTTAACAATGATTAATCCCAATTATGCGTGGAGTCTTCCACACATAATTGGAATTAATCCACGCAAAATTAAAGTATCCCCAAATTCTTATCAATACCGAATGACAACAACGGAAGCCCGAAAATGACAATTTTCGAGCTAAATTTCATTTCCGAACAACAAGCCGATAAGTGCTTGAAGCACAGCTGCGAAAATTTAAAAAGATCATATTCATGTCATTGTTATTTACACAAAACAATATCAATCACGAACTTCTCACTCAACTTCCGAATTGCGACTTTAAAAATGTCATCCACATAAAAACTTTTGAGTGTTCAATCAATGTAGCATTCAATGGAAACATATCTGCTCAAGAGGTTAAAGGTTGAACTGATTGGAATGGGCGAGAAAGTATTGAACTGCATTCGAGATTTAATCACTACGAGTAACTTATTGTATAATTTTATTATTTCAGATGCAAACGTGAACTAAAAGTGAAAATATGAAAAAAAATGAAGCGCTCAGTCATGTTCCTTTTCTAAAGGGCTCTTCTTACCTGCCATTACATCTTCATCACTGCCATCATTCTCGTGAGCCTCTGAGCTGTGCCCATCATGATCTGAATGTCGCTGCTGATCACTGCCCTCTTGATCGTCATGTCCCTCTTTGGTGCTCCCTTGATCAGCTTCGACGTCTGAATGCTCATCCACCTCACTCTCACCACCTTCATGATTCTTATCATTCTCCATATCAACATCACCATTCTCTTGTGATGATGCATTCGCTTTATCCGCACAACTCTTCACCGATGGTTCAGCTGCTTCACCATCTGACCCCACTCCATCAGCGCCTGCTTCTGCATCACGCGCTCGTTCTTCTGGGGATTTTAGTTCAGTCTCCATCTGTTGACGACGACGCTCGATTAAATCTGCAAGCTTTCATTTCATTGATTCTCATCTCAAACGTCCATTGTTACATGCAGTGAAAATTAGGCAATAATCCTAATAATTCAACTATAAATTCTTCATAATCTTGCCACATTCTAAACGATATATTCATCATTCTTAGTAAATCTAGATTACACTCAGCAATAAGATGAATGCACAAAGAAATCAACGTTGCTTTCGATTCTTTTCAAGGTCTCTATAAAGAGATCCAACTAACCGTCAATCTTTTTTGCAGATGTTTTCAACAGTTCGAGCGTGATGAGAGTGTGTTTAGCGGGCAAATAGAACAGTGGTGGTTTGGCATGTGTTTGAATGAAGTTCTGTAATTTGCGATAGTGCTCTTGCTTTTGTTCTGCCTGCAAACAGTTACCACAAATATTCGACTGCTTCCATTAAGTTGAAAACAACTTTGTAAACATGACAACTGCAACTTTCCAATCAATGAGCTTCACAAAATCCACTCTGATAAGAACTGTTTTGAGGCTAAGCTGATCAAAGCATGGACGATAACGCTTCCAAGGACATACGTATTGTATGATAGCCTTCTTCCTTTGCAGCGACTTGATAAGACGTTCTTTTTCACGACGTTTCTCGAACAATTCGTATCGTTCCTTTGCCAGGCGTTCCTTCTCCTCATTCTCTGTGGCCCTCAGACGTCGTTCAACTTCTTTTTGCTTCTCTGCCTGCGAAGCAAAAATGCATTTTGAATGATTCAAGAGAGCAATTCGCTGCCAAACAGAAGACATAATTATGCTGAAGTTACACACTCTCATCGCAATGCTTTGAGGCGGTGGTTCTGAAGAATTCCCTCACCACAAGCACAAATATCATGATATACAAACCTGCACTTTTTCAACTGATAAAATTTTGCGCTCATCTTTTTGGAATCTCTGCAAGGTACCAAGCAGAAGGTTCGAGAACATACGACGATTGCTGAAAATCAAAAGGAAGATGAACCGATTTTATTCCCTTCGAACATAAATTAGCAACAGAAGGAAACAAAGTGTTGGAAATTTAAACATCTATTAACAATGACTTCCAAGGACGAGAATAAATTGTGGGAAAATTTTTTTTGCAGAAAGAAGCAAGGAGCAAAATAAGCAGACGCCTACCGAACGTTGATCTCCTTCTTTTCGGATTCCTTTAACTCAGTGATGGCTGCTTCACGAGATTTCGTCTCAATCGTAGGCATCACAATTGACGACTGAACTGTGCGGCGAGTTTCCTCTTCGTTATCGTCACCTCGAGCCCGCTTCTCAGCTGAACCTTCGTAGAAGCTAGAATGATAATGTTGTCAACAATTCATCAACTAGTGAACATACTACACACATGATACAACTCAAAACAGATTGGAGAAGTAAATCAAGAATGGCAAAAAATACGGATTTGAGAAGATATAAAAGTATGGAACAAACTCATTATCGGCCGAAATCACCATCCGACGTTTATTTGATGAGCCCAGTAATCCTGCGCTATTCAGCAAACGTACATCTCTTCTGAAAACAGTCTGCTAAGAGAGGCTCAGCAATAATACCACCAAAACATCATTCAGATATGAAATATTCAATTATTTGACGCTCTATTCGAAGACTTCGGCTTATGCAACTGTAAAATGGGTATTACCTCTCCGCCGGATGAAAAGAGTCGCCCCGCGGCACCACTCCCCCATCCGAAATCCGTCTTCGAATACCACCCAGTCTGAAAAAGATCTCACATATAGAAAAGTTTCGCATAAAACGCTGAGTTTTGCGTGAAGATATGCATGAGTCTGTTAAAGGAATGGAATAAAGCAGGAACCAGTAAAGTCATCTTAATTTGCAGTAAGATACAAATTACTCACCTGTCACCTCTGGTCGATAGTGCTGAAATTGAGTCATCGATGTGTCGTAATTCGTCGAAAGCCTTCGTGATGTCCGCGCTCAGCTCGTCCACGTCCATTGTCCGTCTCGCTTATCTTCACCTTCAATTATTATATGATATGAAAACTATCGCAAAATAAGCGCACATTACACTCAAGAAACACTGTGCATAACGTAAATACCGAATAAAGGGAAGGAATCCAACTGAAGCACACTAAACAACAATTCACGTGTTGTTCATTATCAATCATTGTTTTGTTCTGAGCAATTGCGAAACACTTAACAATAATTAAGAATGCTGAAAGGTGAAAAACTATGACACGAGACAGAAAAAATAAACTGCCTTTAAAATGTTGATGAATTTGAAACAACATAAATCACAAATCCGAATGGTGTTCGCTAAAGCCTCAAGAAATCTTGGAGAATTATTCAAAAACAAAAAAATGATCTTTAAGACATTTTTTTAGAGGTTTTCTTTCAGGTTTAAAATCTTTTAGATGTTCAAAAACAAAATTTTAGAGGTTTTCGAACCATTTTCGCATTCTTTGAAATATTTTTTTGAGGTTAGTTGAACGATTTGATATTTGATGTGGTCAAAATCAACAAAGTTCGGTTTGCAATGCGAACTACATGAATTTTGAAACGTTCCACAAAAAGGCACGAATTTGAAATTTCATGACGGCGAGTGTCACAGACATAGACTGCTCGATTTTGAGGAATATTATTTGATCATATAATCACATTCGACGTCTGTCGGTATCAGGCATCAGTTTTGTTTAAAATTAAGCCTTCATCTGATCTCTTCATCTAGTACTGTTTTGCATTCAGGTGTAATGGGTGAAGAACCTGAGCCGGATTATGTGCATTTTTCATCGAATAGCAGCATAAAATGTTGTCAACCTGTTCATATTAACAATGAATATTTCCTCCTCATCGGTAACCATGTTGGTGTTTGCTCGTTGTTCTCGTTACAGTCCAATACAATTATTGCTACAGTTCATGGTTTGTTTGATAAGCCATTTAGCACACTTTTATCTTATACTAATTCTCACCGAGCAATTCGGCTCACCGAGCTTTTTCTTAATTATACAAACCTGGCCGCAACCACTCAGTCAGTTCGAACAAATTCAATGAATATCACTTCCACTAGATTTACGAGTTCTGAAAAAAACAATGCAGTCGCATGTGAATGAACAAGTCGTTATGGCAAAAAAGTGTATTCTTCAGAAGATAAAGAAGAACGCCAGATCGTTGGTGTAGGACAAATTGAGAATGGTGATCTTTTCATACACATCCGAAGCTATGAAGTTCTAAGGATCCGTGCGAAGAAATCAATTCGAAATGTTATATTATTCTATCATTTCCGTTCATTGTTAACGCATCCATCATGAATCTCATTTACAATTAGTAAAAACGTATTTTTCTTCAAAATCGACGACAATTTCATGTTTACAGATTCTTTCTTTTGATGTGGTCAACAAATGGTCCACTTCATATTGCGGTTTCTGTGCTGCGATCAGTTGTACGTTTGGTTTACTGATACCTGTAATTTATTTGATATTTTTTACATCTATGTGATCATTCTCTGCCCGCCATCACTTTTCCGATCAAACATTTTCGAATTTGGAAACCATTTCATGTCTTTCCCAGCACTGTCTTGAGCATATCCCGAGAAGCTCTAATTTCGTTTTATTATCCTTAAGAATTAGATGATGACTGAAAATTTTTGACTTGTACGATGCCAGAATTGTGATATTAGGCAGTGTTCGTGATTAGTTTGTATAAGGGAATGTTTCCTCTACGATTCATTAATCGTTCGTTCTGTAATCAAATTTCGTTTAGAGTGATATGGCTCAGTTAAAACTAATCAAAGGAGATAGTGAACAAATCATCGATTTGTGTTCAAATGAACTGAAGAATTGTGGTACTTTGACATGTTTCGCTACAATATTATCGAATTTTATATTGAGTGGATTCGAAAATGGTACTTTGGCGGTGACGGATATCGAAAGTTCGGATTTGATCGATAAGGTTGGTTGTTTCTGCCAGCAGAAAATTTTTGATGAATACTCAAATTGTCCTTTGAAGGAATCTGATGCAACACTAACAATAAGATTAAGGTTAAAAAATTTACACAGGTTGAAGCGTTCCGAAAACCAATACTTGCATCAGCAGTACATAGCAACTATATAGTAGTATCGTCTGTGGCTTCACCGTTAAAGACTTTTCACTTGGACGATAATAAATTGATTGAATTGAATTCAATACCTTTCCCACAAACGTTGGTGGATTTTCCTTTTTTT